AACCCCCTGGAGACCCTGCACCCACCTGGCAGGAGTCGGCCCGGCCGCGGGACTCGCCCGCACACACCATGTTGGAGGTGACGGAGTCACCGTAGACCCCCCGACACTCCTCCTCCGAGACGATGGTGACCTTGGCGCAGTGGAGGTCCTCAGGGAAGGTGACTGCGGGGGATGGAGAACGTGAGGTCACCTGGGAGGGGACAGATCAAGTGACCCAGCCCCAGCTTGGACCTCTTGTCTTCTTCACCCTGGAGCTCATCACCCCTCTTCTTCTTGTTGGCATCAAGGAGGAGCTCCAAGGTTGACCAGGTCACCTGGCCACTTGGGTTCCCTCAGGGGTCAAGAGTGTCTAAAAGGGACTTGGAGAAGAACTTTGGGGGACACCTGGGAGGAGAAGACACACCTAGAACTCATCAAGGAACCCCAGATGTTGGTGGTCTCCAGGTTTCCTACCTTCAGGGCTGGTGGTGGAACCCCAACCCGAGATCTGACAGGTCCTGCCGGGGACGGGACAGTGAGAAGCCAGGGGCAGAGGTTTCACCTCCTTGTTGATGTGGACGGGCAAGAAGAACTTGATGAGCATCAAGTCTCCATCTTTGTTGGTCTCGTTGTACTGAGGGTATCTGAAGACCTTGGCCGAGCGGCGCCGTTGCTCCTTCCCACCAGAGTCCTTCTGCTTCCTGCCCCCGAGGCGGATGTTGATGAAGCTGATGGAACCATCCAAGGTTGTTGATGGTGGGAAGGATGGTCCATGAGGTCACCAGGACCCACCCAAAGCAGGGGCAGAAGTAGAACCGTGGTCACCAGAAGGTGAAGGACAGAAGAAGCAGAAAAGGGCAGAGGTTGAAGGTTCTACTCAAGGTAGAAAAGGGGGTGGAGTGAAGCCCTCTGAGATGCCATCAACCCTCCCAACCTACTTGGTTGGACCTCAGGTGTCACCTGGAGTAATTGACCTCAACCCATGGACAACCAAACCCACCATCAGGGGGTCACCGTTGACCCCTCACAGGTTCTCCTACCCTGGGACGTGGCAGTGGGCGGCCGTCAACACCCAGTTCCTGTCCACCAAGGTCCCACCACAGATGAACTTCTGGCCTTTGAAGAGGGCAGCCTGCCAGGGGAGGTCACAGGAGGTCCCCTCAATCACCCACCGGACGTTCCTCGAGGCTGTGGGGACAAAGGGACACGGCACAGGGGACATGGGTGGGCTGGAACCTTCTGGTGGGACATAGACAACCCTGGTGGCCACCATCTCCACGTCTCCTAAGTCCTGGAGAAGGAGGTGAGGCAGTGGTGGGAGAGGCCAGGAGGTCCATGGGG